GACACGTATCCTGGGAACATGCTCGCAAAATTTCAGTCTTTCAGCCTTCCTGGTTGCTCTGTTAATAAAAATGGGTGGTAAAATCCACTCGCCTATACACACACGCATACACGTGCACATACACTCACTATAAGCCTTGTGATAATATGCGTTTTTGTCATTGTAGCAGCGCTATAAGGCTGCGCGGTAAAACACACAACGCATTTTTCAGACTGAATAAATTAAATGTATGTCTTGTTCGTTGTTCTGCTGCTGCCATCAGTGCTAGGCTCCTTCGCTAGGGCAAGCCTATCTCCAACATTCTATAGCTGGTTGAATGAGACCTACGGCAGCTCAGTCGCTGACCGATTAATGCGTAGTGATTTGGGTCCTGGAGGAAGTTTTGGAGGTGGTGAACACGCTGCCGGCAATAAAACAAAGTAATTTTCAATTTACATCTCAAATTTCGCAGATTTTTTTTGTTTTGATCCCGCTGCATCTTGATTAAAAGAGACTTGGAACACGGGGATTTCTCAACAGTCTGGCTTTTCACGGCCTTTCGTGATAATATTTTGCGATCTGAACTGGAATGGTCAAGTACCAAAGCCAACACGCTTTGCGGATGAGATGGTTCTCACTGCACAGGCTAAGTAAAAAAGAAGCTAGAGAGACTGCAGGAGCTTAATACAGAAGTGGAGAAAATAAGCCTGAAAACCAGATGGGCGAAAACATGAAAACAAAGGTGATGCCAAGCGCCGCGGTAGCTGCAGCCAGACTTCACAAAGATGTTTTTGACTTGTTGAGAGCTGCATCTATTTTAACCAGAAAGTTCGAGAATATTATCTAGGCATGCCTATCTATGTACAGATTTTAAATTCAAGAATATCCAGGCACGAGCCGGTGATCCTTGTACATGGTATAGCGGATCGCGTTGACGAATTCCTCCCGATCCGACAGTACTTCCTCAGCCAAGGATACAGCGATGCCGAAGTGTATGGCACGACTTACGGCGACGCAGGCAA